TTTAAAAGTTTAAAAATGCGTTGCAGACGACTTACTATTAATTTTCCAAGGAAGGATTTGAATAACTTCTTTTGAGAGCACAAGAAGTTCTAGATTTTGTCTCCAGTTGGGCGATTCTTCATAAACTCACTTTCAATCTTTCAAAAGTAAAGCTTCGCTTGTTCCCAGTACGTTTGCTGAACAAAAATATTGCTTCTTGATGCTCAATAATTCTCCGTTGGAATTTGTAGAAAATGTTAAATATCTTGGTGTCATTCTTGACCAAAATTAACATGGAAAAAGCAATTGAATTCCTTTCTGCTAAATGTGAAAAAAATTATTAATGGATTTCACCGAAATTGCCAAAAATACTTTTGAGTAGCTACGATGTTAAGAAACTCTTGTATAAGCAGTGTATTGTACCTTTCATTTCATATGGCTGTCAATTTTGAAATTGCATATAAGAATAATATTTTTTGAGTCATTGGCAACTCATGCTTCGGAAGACTGTATTAATGAATTGTCCCCTTCACTGATCTTCCTCATCCCGTTGCTTTAGAACCCATAAATTTCTGCGATTATAAAGAGACTGCTGAAATAAGTTTTCATATGGTTTTCTTTACAGATGGCAGCAAGATGAACAACAAGGTTGACCTTGCATTTGTTCTTTTTGAAGACCATTCCGAGATTTGTTTTCTTAAACACCGTACACGGAATGAATGTACAGTTTTTCAAGCAGAACTTCTGTGCATTTATCTTGCCATCAAATGGATCCAGGATCATGGGACAACATCCTCAAAGTACCTTATTTGTTCTGATTCTCTTTCTTCTCTTCAACTTTTGAACAGTATTACCAGCTACAATAAATTAGTTATTGAAACCCTAGTAAGTGTTAGTTCACTTAGAATTAGAGGTATTGATATCTGCTTTGCTTATGTGCGTGCTCATCATGGTTTCTACGGAAATGAAAGAGCTGATTTTTTAGCTAAAGATGCCTTAAATTTACCCATTGATTTCAACATTAGCATTCCAAAGAGTTATTGGAAGTCCTTTCATTATAAAAAGCTTTTAGCTATGTGGAATGAGGAATACATTTCATCTTGTAATGCTGAAGTCACCAAAAAGTTCCTTCCTTCTATTTACCATAGACTGAAGTCCGAGTCTTTCCTCTCGTTAAATTTTAAAGTGTCTCAGTTTTTTTCTGGTCATGGTAAATTTGCAAGTTATCTGTTTCGTTTTAATCTACGATCAAACAATTTATGTGAATGTTCAAAAAGAGTTCCTCAGGATGTGGAACATTTGATTTTCTCGTGCCCTACTTTTGATGGCCCTAGATTATGCTTACAGAACGATTTGAAAATGTTCGGAGTGACTTGGCCAGTGAACTTATCTGTTTTCGTGAAGTCCACACTGCTGTTCTCTTGCTTTTGTTCACTTTATTTATGCATGTAATTTTTAATGTTTATTTATACATGTAACCTTTAATGTTCTAGTTAACTTACTTCTGTAAGCCCCGTGTTGTACATATGTGGTGCACGGGAAGTCTGTATGTTCTCAAAGGAAAAAAAAAAAAAAAAATATTTGGAATGAACCTAAACTAAAGTAAAGTTAGGCAGACTTAACAAAAAGATCAAAGAGTCATGCCTTTGGTTCATTCAACACTATAACAAGTTCAGAAGTAGAATTGATCTTTACCCCGCACTTTGAATCAAACTCCAAGCTTTGAACATACGCATTCGTAATTCCAAAGATAACTTCAGATGTGCCTAACATGCCACTTCCTTCTAAAATTGTGAATCATTTTGATGATCTAGTCTTAGCTGATCATATGTTCTATGAAAGAAAACCTATTGATATTTTGTTAGGTGTAAATGTATTTTTTGCTATGCTTAAGGGAGACATCATAAAGAAGAGGACAATCATTCATCCTTTGCAATTTGCTCTCAGTTGGGTTGGATCATATCCGGGAACAATATTCCTGATCATTCAAATCTAACTAACACTTATACAGTGAATAATCTTCAGTTTAATACAAACAAATTAGTTGAAAGATTTTGGTCTTTAGACTCTATTTCTGAAGTCAAACGTATCTCTAGTGGAGATAAACTGGATATATAGCAGAATCTGCTTCTAATTGGACATTATAATTCCGCGATCAAATATGGTCATTATGCTAGTGACACTTAAAGTTTCAAACGATAACCTTTCTAAGGTTGAAAACTAGATTTATAGCATTTCTGCTTCTAATTGACATTATAATATAAATGTATTTTTTGCTATGCTTAAGGGAGACATCATAAAGAAAGGACAATCATCACCCTTTGCAATTTGTTCTCAGTTGGGTTGGATCATATGCGGGAACACTATTACTGATGATTCAAATTTAACTAACATTTTTATACAGTAAATAATCTTCAGTTGAATACAAACAAATTAGTTGAAAGATTTTAGTCTTTAGACTCCATTCCTGAAGTCAAACGTATCTCTAGTGAAGATAAAAAATGTGAAGAATTCTTTAAAACAACACACTTCCGCGATCAAAATGGTCGCTATGTAGTGAAACTTCCATTTAAAGATAACCCTTTAAGGTTGGGTAATTCTAAAGATCTTGTTTTACAAAGATTTAAATCTTTAGATAGAAATACATATATGACGTATAAACAATTCATGAAAGAATACTTGGATCTTGGAAGAGTCCCCAAGTCAGGCATACTACATGCCACATCATGCAGTAATTAAGGAATCTAGCTCTAGGAGCAAAATACGTGTGGTTTTTATTGCTACATTACTTACTTTTTGCCAAGAACTAACAAGTTAGAATTTTTGCATAGAAAACTAAATAAAACCATGCTGGAAAAGCAAATAAATCCTTTAGAAAATATTTTTTAAACACTGGAGGCAAAAATAACGGACATAATTTATAACTATATAAACTTCCATTAAAAAAAGAAATATCTATTATGATTTCTTGATAATGTCAATTAGAAGCAGAAATGCTATAAATCCAGTTTTCATTTAATTTACAGAACAGCTTCGTACATTACACTAAAATTGCACACTGTTTTTATGAATATATATATATATATATATTTTTTTTTTACATTAGCAAATGCAGCAAGCTTTAATGCATATATTCTGTAGAACACCCCAAGCCACAGAAAATGAGACTATTCTCCAGCAAAGATACAGTAAACAAATTAGTGGTCATTTCACAAAGTGGATGTTGCCAGATATTGAGATACCCCATTTTTTTTTACAGTACTTAAGATTTCTACAATGAGTAGTGGCAGTAATGGACTTTTCATCATGAGGCATATCAAAGGAGTTTCTTGCAATAAGACCATCAATATGAGAGTCAATGTTACCATCAGAAAGATTTAGCACAACAGATGGAAGGTAAACTCATCTGGACGCCTTTCTGTGTCCAGACTGAGTCCAGGGAAAAATTCGACATTGATGGAAGTTAAACATTAACATCATGTTTGGGAGTGCTGCCTACGATCACACAGCATATGCAGCAGATATTGTAGAGTCCTGCGTACTTGGATTAGACTTTCTATGGAAACATAATTTTTCCTTGGACTTTCTGCCTCTGAGGACATAACCTTACTCAGAATTACAGAAAAAGGAGTTAAATCTGTCCACAAATCATAAATCAAGACGATATCATGGCACCAGTAAGAACAGAAATTTTACTTCCTGGATTCATAGACCAAAAAAAGATATTTAAATTAATTGTTACGAATTTGGTATATAGATAGATAATTTTAGTGCAGTTATATGTGAAAATGTATTTTACCGTATAATGTAACATGAAAATCTAAAGAGACGGAGCTTGCCGGAAAATTTAGAATACAGGGCCAAGTCTGTTTAACATTGGGTAAATGTCTGTCTCGCTAATTTGGCGAAAATTCGCCAAGATAGCAATGGTTTTAGCAACTCATTTTTGTCGCCAAATTTGCAAGAAATCGCCAAAATTCGCCACACTTGGCGACCATTTGGGGCCTGTCCCTGTGTCACCGTAATAGGTATTGCAATTGAATAACTGCAATCATTTTAGTAGTTTGAAATGTTACTGCTGATTGTGCTCTACAGTACTGAGGAGTGCTGTATGAATATTTTTGTGGAAAGTTCCAGAATAGTGAAGTGTTTCGTTTGGTACAATAAATTTTATCAAGCTATCATCTGTTCTGTGTGCAATCTATTAAAAATTCGAATGCAGACAACAATACTTTTGTTCAAAATCAGATGTTTTGGTAGTCACTATATTGATATTTGGCAGTCTGGGTTGGGTTAAATGTCACTCATCTCAAGACAGTGGTCTAACATTTATCACTAACAATGTTCATTCCTGTTCTCAGAAGTACTGGATAATTTTAGAGGTAGAGGTCCACAGAACAAGATAGTTGGGAAAAGATTCACTGCATGAAATTTTTAAATTTATCACACTGAGTTTTTAATTTCAATTATTTCCAAATACTTCAAAAAATTTTCTTAATTAATTACTTTATAATGAAATTAAGACAAAAAGATTTCTGGCATCTAAAGAATAATATCTCATTTTTTTATCTTTATAATAATATAAGCTTTATCAAGTATCAGTGATCTGCTTTATTGTTTTGAGCAAGAGGTTTTAATGGATTAATCAAATCTTAAAAGGAAAATTTAAAAAGCTTTCATATTTAATTAAAAACATAAAAATCAGAATCTGAAAGGAATTTAACCAATAAGAATTCATCAATCCTGCCATTAGAAATCATTTTAAGATGCATAATACTCTCAAGGAGAAAATACAAATTAAAGTTTTTATTACATTTAACAAATTACATCAATTTGTTTTTCTACGGAAAAATGGCAAATGTCAGAGACCTAATTTCTGTAGAAATATTTTTTTATTCAAAGATAACTTGCACCTATTAAAGGCCTCATATTTGAAAAGCCTAAAACAACAGTTTTTTTTTTAATTTGATTTTAAAATAAGAATATTTAATGAATGTAAATCAAATATGATTTTTACATACTTGAGCCTTCCTTTGGGCAGTTGGAGAAATTCTAATATTTATTACAGATGGCTTATCTTTAGTATTTAGAGAGATTTTCAAAGCATTCTGCAGCTCCTCAACAGTATTTACTGAAAATCCATTTCCACCAAACATGTCACAAATTTTTTCATACTTTGCTGCAGGAAGAAGAGTTGTAGGTGGTACGCTGAAAAGGAAAAACAAGGAATTTTGTATGCCTACATAACCATACACATGCATGTATGTGTGCATATTTGTATACATGTGAAATAAAAATATAGGTAACAATAATAATTTTAATTTACAAATGTCCCTTTATTCTCCCTTTCAATTTATTCAATTCTCATTTTCATCAGAGCTATCTTAATGCATGAGCCCTTGCTCAGGGAGCTCATGAGTATATGGGCCCCATGTTAATCTTTACATGTCAGTTGATTTATGCTGGTAGTTGTCATATGAACCCACCACTTTGGTCTGCCCTAGGGCAGTTAACCCTTTGACGCACGCAATATTATTTTTATAATTTTTTTAACTAAAAACTCTAGAAATTGAATATTATGATCCTAGAGAGAAATAATATATGAATTTAAAAAAATCTACTCTTGCCCATTGTTCTATGGGTAGTGCTCGTACTGTGAAACCACCACGTGTCTAGGACTTTAAAACTTACTGAGGTAGTACGGAAAAACAATTTACCTTTCTCCATGCACATTTCCAATAAATTACGAAATTTACGAATATTAAAAAAATGTATGTAAGAATTTCAATATATATATATATATATATATATATATATATATTTTTACATTATTTTACAAAGTAAATTGTCAGGAAACATTAAAAAAAATAAACATTTATGTAATTTTTCTATAGCAGTGAAAATATAAGTACTACCTACATAATAAGGACGTTTGGCTAAATGGATAAAAAACTCAAAAAATAAGGATAAAAAAAAAGACTTTTTTTTTTTTTCATATATCAAAGAACAAGTTTTTTTTTTTTTTTTTTTTTTTTTTTTTTTGTGATATTGTTCAAAGCATGTTTTGGCATTTTGGTACGTGCATAGACCCACATTGCATGGTTTTCGCACATGTATCTTCTATGAAGGTTTCTTCCTTCTGCTACAAAATGTACACTGCTTGGATCTAAATTTCACTGTATTATGTTCAGCAGTATTTAGTTTTTTTTCAGCTGGCCCATGAAATTTGTGGTTTTTTATGTTAACGGGGGGGGGGGGCATGGTCTTTTTGGCTTTGGTACGGATCATTTGTTTTCCATTCATATTTATTTTATGTATTTCATCCCAAAATATTCAGAAAATATTTTAAATTTAAATGAAACTTTATGCAATTTCTATTTTAAATTATAGCAAAGTATATTTACATTAAATTTAAACCATGAGGAATAATTTATAAAATCTCAATACTAGCTTGGGGACAAGTGGGCTAAGGTCAGAGAAAAATCTCTGGAAAAGAAAGACCTTTTTACTGGGCAGGTGCATGTATTGTTTAGTAATAAAATAACTCTGTGGTTTCAAAACCACTTATCTATATCCAGGTAAAAATAAACATTCCTATCTGAGAAGCAAGCAAACGCCATTGTAAAGAGCAGTGGTTTCAAGGCGCGACCACCGAGCCTCTAGAGCATTGTGAGCATTGTGACACAATGCTTTAGTGGTGCAGTGGTCGCACCCTGAAACCACAAAGCAAATGCCATACTTATAGAGGGTTTTCTTTATATATGCTGCTTAATTATTGCTATTTTTTATTGTTTATGATAGAAATCATGATGTGTGATGAATAACTTTTTAAAGTTGTTTATATTAATAAAAGGAAGTTATTTTGTTTTATTGAAAACGAATTTTAAAAGGCATCCGATTTGAAGTACTAAGACCTAAAACATGTATGATTCTGCAGTCATTTTGTGTTATGTGTAGAGGTAAAAGATCAGTAATCAATTGATTTTCACTCAAAAATTTCGGAAAGAAGAGGAGGGAAAAAATTCAAAAATTGGTAGTTTCAAGGTGCGACCACCGCACATCAAAGGGTTAAGATGGCATTGCTTTCAGTCTAATATAGTGACTGCTTATAATAATCTCTCTAAATTACACCATTTTAAAATTAATCCATGTCATATGATTTTTGCATAACATTAATGACACAGGCACTTGTATTTATTGCCAACAATTGTTTACAGCCAATATTTGTAGCCAATAATATTTCAGAAACTTTAATAACAGAAAATAACGTAAACTCAATTCTTCTAAACTAGGCTTTCATCTTCAAATGTCACATTTTCTATCTCTCATTTTGTTACTGCTAACTTTCAAATGCCTGCTGCTTCAGAGTAAAAAAAAAAAAAAAAAAAAAAAAAAACCTCTAATAGCGATGCAGATCTTCAAGAACAGGTGTCAAATTAATTGTGGCTGCATATGTCAACAATAAAAGAAATATTCAACCAGTCTCAGTGATTGTTACTATCTTTATGCATCAAACTTCAAGTCAATATATAAAGGTATTTTTTCTCTCCTTCCAGCATGCCTTCGTGGTACAACGGTAGCACACTTTGTGCATATTTGAGACGTTCGAGTCCCAGCAAGAGCATTGCATATTATTCACATATTCTACTTTAATTCCGATGACAATTTTAACTAAATAAGTTTCTCTTGCCAACTTTATAGCAACCGTAACTCAAACAGAGTACAACTCTAAACCAACCACTACTTTCTCTCCAACTAAATACTACAACCTTATTAAAACTCCATCACTAAGAACATTTACAGTTACAGCCATTTCACTTCAAATTTTGCAAACAAGTACGTTAATTTTTATTTCCATTCTGGCATTGATTTGTACCTAAATTTGTATTTAAATAACTACCTTTGATTTTGCATATAAATCTAAAAGAATATAAAATAGCTAACTTTTGATTTTGCATATAAATTTGCATTTCAGAGCCTAACTTTTGATTATGGAAAAAGGAATGTTTTAATTAGTATTTAAATGGCTAACTTTTGATCTTGCATTTAATTCTAAAAAAATGTATTAATTTGTACATTTCGATTGATTTCAAATATCTTCTTTTGTACATATTTTAATTATTTCATATTAATTTGTACAGATCTCAATTAGTTTTTTATTGTTCTTATAATACTGTGAGAGTATCAGGGAATGTTTTTTTCTAAAGTGAAGATCCCGCTTAATTAAGTTCTTAAAGAGTACCTTAAATTAAGAAAAAAAACTTAGTCATTTTCTTTTTGGTTTTGTTTATAGCAAGCATTTTGGCTTAAGCAGACTAATTATATTTCCCATTTTTGAGTTTTATTTGTAACTTATGATATAACTCTAGCATAATAACTAATTTATCTTTACTTGAAAAAAAAAATGAAACACCCTCACTGAATCTGGTTATTGTTAATCGATAGTGGATTGGTTTGTTTCCCTTGACAAATCAATTAATCTATGGTCAATGACAATGGCTGCCTTTTCAGTACTTTAAATTTTACTTTTTACTTTTACTATTTAGAATTTTTCTGATTTAAAAAAATCTTTCTATTTTTACTACAATAGAAATCTAAATAACTTATACTTAAAATACTGACTCTAATTTATTCCAACAATTCATAGCATTAATTAAATTTATATTCCTTGCAGATGACACATATTTTTTTTCTAATAACATATATATATATATATACATGAATGAACAATACGAAGAAAGAAAAGTAAAAAACCTCGAAAACCTGATCCAATTGTGTGCTGATAAAAGCAACAAGTAAGTGGAGGAGTAATAACATAAAATAAGATAAAAACTACATTTAAAATTCATCACACATTCGATTAAGAATAAATAACAAGCAAAAACCAAAAAATCAGAAGCACAATGGCAAACTGCGCGAAATATGAGACAAAATATGCCAAAAATGAAATATGATATTTACATCATTTGTTGCACCATCATCAAAGGGTTGGTGCAAGGAAAGAAAGAAAGAAAGAAAACAGCCTATTTCTGAATGAACAAATGCAAAAATTAAAGTTTAAAATTGAAAAATAATTTTAGGAAAACAATAAAAGCAATCTGTGTCTTTAATCAGCCCAATCCGTACAGGCCGAACAGGCAGTGGAAAAAATTGAAAAATTATAGCATAAAAAAAATTGCGAAATAATAAACAAATTATTTTGAGTAGATAGAGTCCAAAAACAAAACTAGCAAAAATAATAATCCAATATTTGAAAACAAAACCATATGCAAAGATTTTTATTTTAATATTTGTAAAATAAAACTATATTCAAATTTTGAAAACATACAGATTGGGTTAAAAAAATAATAGCAAAAACCATAAACATGCAACAAAGCTTCAAAATTTAATAATTTACAATTTGAGTGGATTGAGTGCAAAAACAAGTAAAAGAGAATTAATATTAAGGATTAAAAAACATTGATAAAAAATATAAAAAAATAAAAAATAAAAATATATGAGTAAGTTCTTAAAATTTGTAACATAACACAAATAAAAGTTCTGAAATGAAAAAAATATATTCACCTTTTTAAATTAGGAAAGCCAACTGTGTAATGAAATTAGAAAACTATGAATTTTAAATTATTTAAACTCAATAAGAATAATTAAAAGAAAACCTAACATAATATAAAAATTGTAGCAACAAAAATAAATATTTTTAAATAGGGAAAAAAATTCGATGTTTTTTACATCTTTCGATGATTTTTGAATTAGGAATACAGGTAATTCGAAGTTTTTTCCTTTTTGTGATACACCACTTATAATGAACAAGAGAAAAATCATTCATTATACTAAAATTAATAATTATGACTAAGAGATGTCTGAATGCATGAAACATCATAGTGAGGAGGTGCTATTGATGGACCCAATATCACAAGCCAAAATATTTTATGAGGAAATGGACTTGAAAAATTTGAGTGCATATATCATCAAGTTTGTTAACCAAATTTTAAAATCATTATGGTAAAAGGCAGAGATTTCAACAAAATAGCTTCGGTCTATACAGAAGCACCTGAACAATTTGCAAATGAATTCATTAAAGGTATTAATAGTGAAAAGTTGTTACCAAAACAAAGTATGATGCTGACATTATTGATGTTTTCTAATAACATGTTCCCTGAAATACTTTGCTGATAACTGCCGAAGATAACTCAGTTAAAGTCAAAGATTCCAAAGTGAGACTAACAATTTTGGAGAGCACAAATGGTGTAGAAATGCAAAAATGTAAACTTTTATAACTGGAAAAAATTCATTATGTCAAGAATTTTAAAAGGGTAAAACTTTTCCCCACGATCTATCATTTAAATAAAACTGCATGGAGGATACAAACATTAATGAATCATGGGTTTGAAAACCGTTTTACATGTGAAGTTAGGCAACATTTAAAATAAGTTGGTGTGCTGGATGATGCAAAAATTGTCCTGATTACAGACAACTGTTCAGTTCCTACTTCACTGAAAGTTTTAGTAATAGATAACAACGTTATACTCTTTCCTCCAAACTATACATCAACCATCCAGCTAATGAATATTGGAGTGCTCTACATACTGAAATGCACATACAGTCAAACTTCACTACAATTAATTTTGAAGGACTGGAAGTTTGATTCACAATATCTGATTTGATACAAAAAACAGATTATCTCACAAAATTGTGTAAAAATTCAATAATGAATTAAAAAAAAAGTGATTAGCATTGTCACCTCTACCTTCTCCAAAAGAAGTGAATAATAAATCTAAGTTTAAAAAATGTTCAATTTTAATTACAATTATTATATAAATAATGCATTTAATAATTTTACATAATAAATTACATTATATCATGAGTCCTCAAATTATACATTTATAACTTTATCTACAAAATGTATAAACGGTGTTTTTATATTTGTATGAAAACGAATAACAAAATATACTGATGAATTTGCCTGCCACCTAAAGTTACAGGTAAATCAATCAGTATATTTTGGCAATTACAGGACGTGAACAGTGGAGCTATGAAATGAAATTAGAAGTTGTGTCTACTTATGAAATTAAACAGAAAGTATGAACCTATGAACACAATAAACAGTATAAACAGTATGATTCACAACAAAAGAAAAAAAAAACTTCAAAATCTAAATCTATGGCCCTAGATGAAAACATACTTATTCAACATGAAGTATCATCACTTTTAAAATAAGCATCTTACTATGAATAAAATAACAGATTCATCTGACAAATAGAAACTTATTGTGAGTATAAATCAAATATACATTTATTTAAATGACTGTAACAAATACAGTACAAAGTTCATAATCTTGACTCATGGGGACTTCGGCGATTCCGGATTATCGATTTTTCCGGATTATAGATCATCAATTTAAATCTGGTAAGATAACATGCAGAAATTATACAATTAAAAATATGAAAGAGCAATTATGATCTAAAGGGTATCAAAATTTACAAAAAAAAAAAAAAGCTTAATATTTATTTGTTTACTTTATTAAACATTTCTTTCAATGTAAGTTGTTTACGTTGCTTTGTTTTTATGTGCTAATACTTTCTCTTTAATTCCATAAACAGACATAATTTCTTGTTCAGTTACAAAGTTCCACTGTTAAAGTCCTGTAATTGCTGTGTCGAGAATACCGACTAACTTGTCAATCAATATTTTTTCGTTTTCAATAACCTCTCTGTCACTTTCTTCACTATCAGAAGTAGCATTTTCTGGATTTAGAACCATACTACATATTTCGCTGTCCATTAATTGATTGATGATTGGGGCACTGTCGTCACAATGAAAAACTTCTGTTATATCATCTTCATTTATTACTGCTTCTCCATATTTCTTTACAAATTCCAACAACTGAAAAATTTCACCTTTAGTTTGCGATGTCTGAAAACCTTCAAATCCGCAGCTATCATCTTCATCGTCCTCACCATGAAAAATGGTATCTGGCCATAAATTATGCCATGCATTTTTTAACATATCTGGAGACACATCCTCCCAACATGCATGCATAAAGCATACAAAAAAAAAGTTCGTGTCTTGGAGGTCCAGATTATAGATCATTCTGGATAATGGACATCCAGATTATGGACTTTGTATAGTACCAATCAAATTATTATTATAGTAGATGACAGAAGAGTTGAAAATGTGTTTTCAAGAGTTTAAAAAAATAAATGCTACTTTTCCGTTTTGCTGGCGCAGGTGATAAAGTTGCCAATAATGGTACAACTGATGCCAAACGGAATATCCTCGCTGGTAACCTTTTAGACCTCATTTTAAAAACAATTTGCAGCTATTTCTTATCAGACTGATGGCTTCTTTCAATACTGGGCCCACCAGCGGCCGAGCGGTAAAATCGCTGAACACTGGTAGTTCGGTGAGGTTCGAATCCCGCGAATGGGCTGGCTGCATGGGTGTTTTTGTGGTTTTCCCCATGTGTAACGTGTATACGAGCCAGTTTCCCTTAGAAAGTCCTCTACGATGGCATCCCTCCTCTTAGGCAGATAGCCCTCGAGGCTTTGCCGTAATTAAGTAACCTAAGCTAACCTAACCTAACTTTCAATACTGGCATACTATTACATAGAATTTTTACCAGATAAATACAGTTTTATGCCCTAAGGCCATTCGTGGTAATTAAGTCAAATAGAATGCAATCACACCATTCACCCTAAGGTGAAAATATAGAAAAGACAAAGTCAAGGGCTAAATTCATCAATTCTAATGAGAATACACTAGTGAAGTAAAGCACTGCGGTTTTACATAATTTCTGAATAAGCTATTTGTATGAAATGAAATAATTCTTTCATTTAAACTTGTATTCCAAATTAAGATTTAACTTGAAATTAATGTAGATAATTACTGAGAGAATTATTTTTTTGTAGCGTAGTTTACATAACATGAGATCACTTGGAGTCCTGGGATATGAATCAGTGAATCTGGTTGTTGAACCAGGTAAGCATAGTAAATTCTTAATTTAATGTCTTTTCACAAATTTGTCTTTATTTACTGGCTTTTACAAAATTTTAAATGATATTAAAATGTTTATGCCTTCAAAATAAAAAATTCTTAGAACCAACATTGTTAACATTTTTTATGTCTATACTGTATGTTGTCACCAATAAAGTCCGACTGGCGAGATTTGCGCTGGCAAAACGGAAAAGTACCAAATAAATTAGTAAGTCATTCATGATTACCACTGATTTTCCGTGCAACAGAAAATAAAAGTTAAGAAGAGATGCATTACGATTAATAGTTGAATTGTTAAAATAGTTGAAGAACAATTAATAGTTGTCTATAAATGCAGACGAAACCATAATACAATAAAAAGTCTTAGTGTCTTCACACAGTGATCATAAAATAAGTTTCTTGGTGGCTTCAAAATAGGAACAGTTAAAGATTCTTGAACTCTGACAGAATTTGTGTTCTTAGGTAGAAACTCAGAAAGAAAGGGTGGTGTTGGCTTCATTCACCTAGTCAAATGATTCTTTCACTGATAAGTCTTCAATTTTGGCACATCTATCAACACTGGTTCACTGGAACTAAACACACTATACCAGAAATGAAAACACTGAAAAGCCTAATAGAAATTTAGGGTACCAAAGTGCCAAAGACATACAGAAATTTGCTCACACTAGCTTGCATTTAAATAGCAAAGCTTCATAATGTCATTTTTCAGCACTGAAAGAATATGAAATGCAAATTTCCAACATGATGACAGAAATTAACTATGCATTTTATCTATTTTAATAAATATTACAAAATATTTTACAACCAATATTTAAAATCACTTACATAGGAAATCACTTTATAGATAAGCAAGATTGAAAGAATAGAAAACTTCAATTTTCATGTAATATACAAAATATGCAAAGCCCTGTCAGAATCTTTATGTTTTAAGCCATGACAATAAATGCAATTGAAGAATTTCTCTACTTACCTGAGAGCTAAGTGCACACTATCTTCTTCCACCATTTTAAAACTGTCTTCATCAAGTCCAGAATATATTCCATTATTGTTGAAAATTATTATTATTACAGGAAGATGATATCTAAAATGATGTAAAAGCAAAATAACTGTATATTTAGTTTTAATAATGAAATTTTAATTTAAAACAGAACTGTTTAATGTCAAACAAAATGTTTCACATTGAAAGATGGTACTATAAATAAGAATTACAAGATTTAGCAATGTAAATTTTCATAATCAAGCACATAATATGGAACGTACAGAATTTTAAATAACCGACAGGTTTTTCTCCTTGCACAAAAGATAGTAATATCACATTTTTTTGATAAACAGAATTAATGAACTTTTCTCATCTCCCTTTTATGTAAACAATAAATGTCAAAATAATAATCTGAAACACTTTCAGATTATCTGCACCTTCATAAAAAGTCATCAGCTTGTAGGCGACTTTATAAATCAGCAAAATATGTTTATACAGCTGTCTTTAAATCAGTTTCTAACGAATATTGTAGAACAATAGCTTGCAATTTTTGATGCTGCTTGCAATTAGCTTGCAATTTTTGATGCTGCATTTCTTCAACACTTAATCATTTAGAATGTATAACTTCATAGAATGCTAATCTGCATACATTCTATTGTTGAGAAAAATGTATTTCTGAATTCTACAGTCCCATTATCATGATGACTAAAGGAAAAGGAAAAGCACTTAAAAAACTTATTTTAAAAATAATCATGTAAATCCACACGTACTGGGTCAACTACTCTCACGTATATGTCACCAGAAACATAAATGTCATATACAGTGGGTTAAAAAAGTATTTGCAGTTGCCCATATCTGATCATATTAGCTAACAAACAAAATGCTTGACAATTTTAGCTGGACATGATGAACACAGGAGGTAATAAACACACAAATCTAATGAAGCTTTCATTTTAATATGCCTTTTACACAAAATATACAACAAAAACACAAATTTACATGTAAAAACAGTATCGGCAAAGTTCTAACTGCTACACAAATTTTGTTATGTTTAGGTTACGTGTTTAGACTGATAAGAAACCCAGTTAGTATAAGGACCACAGTGCTACTTCAAAACTTTTAAAATGTTATTTTGCTAATACTGTGATAATATGGCTTCAAATTTGAAGGAGTTGAATGCTAATGTTAAAAATATGATTATTCAGCTCAGAAATGAGGGTTTAACTTATAATTCGAAATATAACTGAACATAAGTTTATTTAAGGTCAGAAGTGTTATAAAAAAAGTTCAACGAGACAGGATTGACAGAAAATAAGATTAGAAGTGGATGGCCTTGAATATTTTCTGCAAGGTAAAAACATGGCATCATCTAATAAACTTAAAATAAGTGCACTCCAGTTAGTCAAATTCTGCACATAAATTAAATTGAAAATTCAAGGCACAAACTGGACCCTAGAAGTCAGCAAATATAAAATTTCATGCAAAGATGAATTTAAGCATATACTCTTGCAAGAATGGCACGAAATTCCTAACAGTACAACCAAGACTTTGGTTTTATCTATGAGAAATAGATTACAAGCTGTTATAAATGAAAAAAAAGTATGAATAGAAAGTATTACATTTTGTTCCCACATCTTGCTGTATGATCTTGCCAATACTTTTTGACGTGAAAATTTATGTTTTTGTTGCATATTTTCTATAAAAGGCATATTAAAATGAAAGTTTCATTAGGATTTGTGTGTTTATTACTTCCTGTGCTTATTATGTCCACCTAAAACTATCAAGCTTTTGTTAGCTAATATGATCAATTATAGGCAATTCCTAATACTTTTTTCACTTACTGCATATATCACAAAAAAAAAAAAAAAAAAAAAAAAAAAAAAATGCCATTTCTACTCAATATTGAATGTGCATGAGCGGATAATTACACAGTACCTATTTTTTTTTAAGAATATGTACTTAATAATAATATGATGAAACTATTCTGTTACATAAGAAAATCATAATTTAGTTTTTGTTATAATTATTTAAATTTTACATAGCATTTTTTAAAAATTATGTAAATTTATTTAATAGATAAAATTCTTACTGTTGTTAATCTCATGTATTTAAAAAAATTAGAATTTAATTTGCTGTGTACTACAACATTTTATTCATATATGATCAAATTATATTACACATTAAATTAATGAAATTAGACAATGGAGTATCTTCATAAAGACCCAGTTCATTTTCTGAGTATCATATTAATGGCTTAGAAAACATTAAGAGTAAAACCAACTTTACTATTACCTACCTATTTATAGTTAACCTAACAACCTACCTATATCTAACTTATATTATTTAAAAAAAAAAAAAAAAGCAATCAAATTATAAGATCTTAAAATAAATTTACATGGTAGAATGATAGAGATACAATAAAACTCTAATTATCGGAACTCCAAATATCTGAATCGCTTTTAGAATTTCAGAACTTTTCAGAATAAAATGAAGAACAGAAGAATAAGAGAAAAGGAAAAAGGAAGCTCAGAAAAGGAAACAGACTGGAGAAGATGACGATGACGTGTCACTTGAGGAATTGAAAACATTAAAAACATTCTTTTGAAAATTCCTGGATGTTTAGAATTTAGTGCTGAGGATACAGAAGAATAGATGGTGTGTAATTCATCAGACCCTGGGTTTCAAATTCTAAATGACGATGAACATATTGAAAGTAAGAGAAAAGAAAGTATCAAGGAAGAAGGTGACCTTAATGGTCAAAGTTGAAGCAGACACGGGACCATCAGCTAGTGATGCGTTTTCTGGTCTTGAAACTGTGTTGAAGTGGAGGAAGCATCAGTCCGAGTGTGACCACATGCAACTTCTCATTGTCAAGCAGATGTGCGACTGGGCTGCTTGAAAATGGATGAAGACAGTCAAACAGCCTACTTTGACTGAGATGTTCAGCAAGGAATGACTTTCAGCATTTTTAAGTACTGTACAATAAGCTATGTAACATGTACGTAAAAGTGTTGCCTTCTCATTTTAATTATTTCATACCTCTTTTCTTTAAAAATAGTTTTTTTTCTCCCATTTTCAACACACAATACATACAATAATTAATTAAAGTGTACGTAGACCCTTTCTTCAGAAAAAATCCTATTACACAAATTTTTGATTATGCAAATGGGGGTCCAGTCCCAGTTGATTCGGATTATTGGAGTTTTACTGTATTTCTAACTAAGTCATTCTGCAATGCATTTCTAAAAAATAAAAATAATTAGCCAAAATTGAAATGGATCTTTTCACATTCAGTAGCATAAATTTGTATACTTTAAATTCTTCTTTCAGTAAAAATCTTTTGTACAGTGGAAATAGTTATATGAACATTTAGACAATGCAATATATATTTGCATTTTAGCAAAATACTGAAAGAAATATATATGTATATTTTATCTATTCTTAGTTTTCTGAAGTTTTCTTAATACAAGATTCTTAATTTTCTACTACCATAATTAACTGTTTGACTGCTACACAGCACAAAAGCGCTGCGTTCATTTGTCTTGAAAACCGCAAAGCAGTGTTATTGCACTGCGAGTTTCAGTGTGTCTTTGTTGCTCTGTGGGTGCGAACACGTAGTCTGACCTCACGCGTACTTTGTAACACAAGTGCATTCTAAAATAACTAACTGTGTCACGGTTTTCGAGACAAATGAACGCAGTGCTTTTGCATGGTGTAGCAGTCAAACGGTTAATAATGTAACAACAGGTAAAATATTTTAATTTAATTTTATACTCTTAGAATGAAGTTAAAGCTTTATCATTATATGGAAAAGAGCGTACACAAAAGGGACTACAGAAATAGAAAATTTTACAGAAAAGAAATAGATTCATCACTATTAATTCAGAATAAATTATATTTAGAATAAATTATATTTAATTAAAATTCTCTGAAATGATAATGGTCCCAAAGAGATAAGTCTTGTTTTTAAGTATACTTTGAAGAATGCTTACAGAAATACCAAGGTAAACATGATTTTTAAAAAGCTTAAACATAATATTCAATTAAGGATGTTAAGAAAGTAAGTGTAAAGATGAGAGCCCCCCAAAAATAATAAATAATAAAGATTTTTCTTTACATTTCATAACAGAATGAAGATATTCCTTAGATGTACTTTTATCAATATTACCTATTAATTGTTTCCATTTCTATGGCAGAAAAGCCAAAAGCACTGTCACCTTGAATACAGATTACTCGCTTCCTTGGAGCATAATCCTGACACCATAAAGCTGCTGCAATAGCAAATCCCAAGCCAACACCCATAGTACCAAATGTACCAGCATCTAGCCTATTTTTCAAAATAAATAAATAAAAAGGAAAGTAAAATAATAACTATTAAAGATAGCAAATCCTAAATACCTAACTACAAAAAATAGCAAATCCCAAACCAACACCCAAAGTACCAAATGTATAAGCATCTAGCCTATTTTTCTAAATAAATAAATAAAAAGCAATGTAAAATGATAACTATCAAAGATATTTCTACAAAAAAATCTGAAAGAATTTCAAATTTTATTATTGTCCTAAAGGCTTTTTCAAAGTTTAATATGGTTTATCAGTAGAGATTATTGATACAGATGGCGCAGGTGAAATGATGAAATATTTTATAGGATATTAGCTGAAAAGTAAAAATATATGTAACATATAAAAATATTTAATGTTTTTAATTAGACATATCATGAATTAAATGCATTTTTATTTAAATCAATCGATTTAAAAAGTAAGAAAATAATATTCTTAAGAGCAGCAACTATTGCTTTTAAATACTAGTTTCTTAATAACATACATATTAAATATAAAAGAATACTATTTTACACTTTTGCGAATGGCAATAGACTTGAATTAAAAGGAAAAAAAATGCAAAATCATCAAGTTTTGAGACTAATAGCCCTATTGGGCTAATAAAAAAATAAATACATATTTAATGAAACTGTATATTAAAACAAAATTACCTACATAGTATAATCTGCATTTTAAAGGCACTGAATGTATGGTAGCTACAAAATCTACATGGCCAATTATATATATTACTGCGAAAGACCGACATCTAGTAAATGTTGATATTCTGTGGTGAATGGTCAGCATTCACATAAATGTTTGCTAAATATTTATTTCTCATTTTCACCAACATTCAGCAGGCACTGATGGTGAATGTTGAATCAAATATTTTTGTTATGTTGTAGGATTTTATTTATTTTTACTAATAGTTATTTTAATTTATTGACCTTTTCTGCCTTCTCTTATTCCCCTCACGCTACCTTACCAGGATGCAAATTAGCTAAAGTGAATGAGTGTATTTAAACTGATGTAGCAAAACATTTAGTCAGAGCTTGGTTTCACTATTGTGAGCACACACTGCTATTTCTTCCAGCTGTTAACCTTGAATAGTGGCTTTGCATTCTTGCCACCAAATTATTATACTGTCAGTGTAGGTTCTGATTCGACCTGCTAAATTAAATTGTATTGGGTAGTCTTATACTACTCCTACCTTTAAATTTAGTATTAAGTATCTTTTAAGTTCTCACTGCAAGTGGTCAGTATCAGTCAGCACTTAAGTCCATGCCATGTGTAAACTACATTGCGTTCAATAAAAGGGTCTTATACACCTTTCTCCTGGTTGTGTTCATCAAGCCTGTGTGAGAAGTCACAAGGATTAACACTTAGTAGTCACAAGGATTAACACTTAGGTAGTCAATCCTTGCAACAGATCTAAATCTAGTAACATTTCTTCCATTCGATCTAGTTACATTTTATGATAGTGAAAAGAATTAGATCCCACAATGTTAAGATAAAAATGCAACTTTTTAAATCATATTTTTTAATTAAACACACATTATGGTATATGCCAGAAAAGGAGAAAGCTTATGTAACAGCACATGTAAATAAACTCCTGAACCTAAAACAAACAGTACGTTTTTAAATCAGAAAAGATAATATAATACCAATTGCAGTTGCTTCTCTGAGTGATATTTCTTAAGAAGAATCTTCACCTATGAAAAGTAGCTTTACTTTACAAATTATGAACTTATTACAGGTATAAAGCTGCTTAAGGGTACCATTTTTGTTTTCCCAATTTATAAAAGTCAAAGGTCTTCTATTCCAACAATAACCACCAATACATTTTAGGCATTCAGTATAACTACAGTTATCATCAAGGACTTGTATTCATATGGTAGCACCAATTTGAATGGGGGGGAAATTTTCGTTTTGAGGTTTGCAATGCTTGTAGTAGAAGATTTTCTTTTGCGGTTGCTCTTTTACATGAATAAATTCATGTTGTTCAGTCATGGTTTAATATGAAGATGCAGTAGGTTGCAAAACTTCAATACTTTCTGTTGGAATATGGTTTTGGGTATAGTCACTACTCATATTTTATTCAAAAATACTAAAAATTTCTTTGAACTTTTTGAGTTTCAATATCTGTCATTTGCTCGCCAGGCAAAGATGATAATACGATGCCTGTCTTTGGTTTAAAATCAAACAGACTTCATAAGGTCTTAAGTGTATGTTTTCATGTTAATGTTATATTTTGGAAATTAAACAAAAGAAAAACCATCTGACCATTTATTTCAATCTTTATCATTAATCCATGCAATTAGTATATTCTATATACCCTGAATAGCCCTTTCAACTGAGTCATCTATATGACTATTATAGGACTTTCCGTAAGATATCTTAACATATTTCCCCACTGACTTGATTACTGAATTCCCTACCATTATCTGAATGCAATATATTTGAGACACCAAATGTTAGAAACATTTGAAGGTGGCGATATGCTGCTTCTTCTAAAGGTCGTAACTGGACAAGCTTCGTTAAATGGTCTTGATGTGCAGTTATGAATTAATATTTGTCATCCATGCATGACTGCAGGTCTATCAGATTGACTTGAGATCTTGAGCTTAACTCCGGACTGACCACTGGTTTTACAACAATACCTTTTTTAGGTGCAGTGTATTTCATTTGACAATATTTTCAAAACTTTAAATACAACATTACAACTTCATATATAATATTTCTGTCTTTAACTTGCAAGTCTTTAAGCATATGTGTGCACTTCCTTCATAACCTCTTCTGATGTGAGTTTCAGATAGCACACTAAACAATTCATTATTGGTAATATAATACTGTGCATTCATTTCTCCAAGTTTTAATGGCACAACTAACTTCTCTTCATCATAAATTTTTAAAAAGTAAAAGCATTTTAATCAACTGCAATTCAAAGATTTACTTAGTTTTGGCAGAAAGTATTTTATTAGCAAAATAAAAACTGCCTTCTTATTTACTCACTATTAATCAATTAATATATGTAACTTTAAAAAAAAAAGGCCTTGATCACCACAGTAACCATTAAAATAAAACAGAATAACAGATAAAAATAAAAAATAAACAAACATTTCCCACATCAGCAATTACATAAGACTGACAAACAGCAGAGTATTCAAAAATCTAGCAAACAAATGCCATGGACTTCTGTCAGCAATTGATAAGCCACACTTTTTAATTCAATACTTAGCTACAGGGATTGGTAAAAGCATGATTTTCTCTTATAAGGTAGAGGTATGTAAACCGTAACCCGCAACAAACTGGCAATTTTCTGTAAATAGATTTATGCTTTTATTACTCTTTTGAAGAGTATTTTTTCTTGCCACATAACATGACTTAGTAGAGTTTTATTTATTAATAGTGAATGTTAAAATACAACTAAATTTTTGATTGTTCACTAACATATTTTTTACTTATCAAGATTCATCTGAGAAAACTGACATTGTTTAATTTTGGTCTTTTATAGTATATGGAAAAGAAAGATTATACATCTTACTCTTAGCATATTATCTTGCTGCTCCCACCAGTGGTCAAGCAGTTTAAGACTAATGAATGCTAGTAGTTCAACCTACGTTTGAGCCCAGGGAAACAGGCAAGCTGTATGGTTGAGTTTCATAGTTTTTACCATGAGTAATGTGAATATGAGCCACTCTTATAAAGTCCTCCATGAAGACATCCCTTCCTTTGGGCAGGTAGCCATTCTATACTTTGCATATTCAAATAACCTATTATCTTGCTATTATTAATTCTATGTTATCATTTTCTCTACAGATACACAGTTCAGTATTGCACACGCAAAAAATAAAACAGTGGATATAGATATGTAACACATCTTAGAAGTAAATTCCTTCTACATTCTTATTTTTCTAATAATAATCCTTTAGACTGGCCTGTTATTAAAAAAAATAAATAAATAAAAATAAAAAAAAACTTGTCATAGCAAAAAGAAGGCTCAGTTGAAATGACCATCAGGACATACAGACCATGTTAACTGCATGAGTTAATGATAAAGACAGAAATAAATGAACAGATAGTTTGCTCTTTATCCAATTTGCCAAGAACACAAGATACCATGAAGGAATACAGCAAAATAGTTATGAAGCCCTGTTATTAAATAATTATCTGTGAAAACAAGAAATCAGAAACAAATAAAATGGTGTGAAAGAAGCTGAAACACATTTTTACCTTCATCACATCATAATCATGACTTTTAGAAAAACAGCATTTATAAGCTTACTTTTCACAGGAAGAAAGTTACGACATGTGAGGAAAATTAAGTTGCAAAAGCCATTGGTACATTTATACATACATACCTTTTGCCATAACAACATCATAAACAGTTTTAATACCAATAAAAAATACATAATGAAGCACTCTCTTTGTTATGTTCCCATTTTCTGCTAATCCTGTAATTGCATCGATCCTGTAGGTTCGGAAAAAGTTTTGATTTCTGATGGAAACTGATTTAACTTTATATCGAGTGCTACATAGTTTTGTCACCTCAACTACTGATGAGCTCAAAAATAAGTGGCAGACTTGATGGATAAAAAAATTCCTTTAGTACTTCTTTAAGTTGGAATTTTAGAAAACTTACAGAACTATTGAACGAAATGGAGAAAAATTTTAAAACTGAATTAATAGACGACACTGAATGCATACACTTAATGAATAAATACCTGTGCCGAGGAAATTCATTCAATAACATTGTTCGTCCAATATCCATTGTATTAGCTCCCTCATTTACAATAATAGAATCAAATGGAATTAAAGCTTGTATCTAAAGGAAAATTAATTACAAAATAAAAATGATAAACTTCTATTACTTTAAATTATAAATTATTTTAAAATATATGTAAATTCTAAACTGCCAATGTTTTAGTAATTTGAAATTTATTGGAAATATAATTATTCTAATTTTAGAATGATATTTAAAATCTTACTTCATGGTAAGCAGCATAATAATTGAGAGGTGTTGATTTGTCTGAAATCATTTCCTATGTAAAGAAGAGAAATATATTAAATGTTGCATTATGGGAGGGAATTCAAAAGATTAAATAAATAAAAAATCTGAAAGCTTCCAGATTTTACATTATGCTCAAAGAGGCATTTTTTTTTAAATGTTTTGTGTGTTAACTTTATTTATTAAATATCATGTTCTTCACACTTATACCATAAAATTCAGTTCAACAACAATATCACAAAATAATTTTAAAATGAGCATATCTTTAGAATTTCTGATAGACAGTCTTACACACTGGAGACAATTTTTTTTTTCCTTACAGTGTTGCCATTGCTTGCTTTGAAATTGTTTAGTTTGTTAATCACAAATTCGTTAAAGTTTTACAAAACATGAAATAATTAATACAACAAATTCCATATTCAAATTTGAGCTTCCAGATGCCCATATTTGGTTGGAAACGTACGTTATACAAAATTTGATGGCTCTAGGTACCGTTGTTTTATCACAATGTGAGAAACATACATACATTTTATGCAGATTCTTCATTATTTAATTTCTTTAAATATAATAGAGAGCTCTAATATTTTTGTGACAACAATTTGAAAAGTGAACCAACATTTTTACAGTTAATCAACACAAAATGCTAAAATGAAATTAATAGCCCTTTGGGATAGAAAAAAGGGAGAAGGAGAAAAAATTTCAGTACTGATAATTACATTGCATATTTTTTACTGTCAAAATGTGCATTTTCACATTAATATTAATATCACTGTTCAATAGACAACAACACTTTCTTCACACTTACCCCATATAAAATTTCAGAAATATTTAAAAACAGCATATCTTTAGAATTCTCAGTAGAGTATTAGGTATTTTCATACTTTTTTTATTCACTATCTTATGTCTTTAAAAACTAGCTGCTTGAGCAGCCAACTACGTAAAAGAGTTAAAGCAAAAATTACACAATGGTTTTAATGACTCTAGCTAGTGTAATTTCATAAAAATGTTTATATTTCTAATTATAGATCTTATGATTTAAAATTCAATTTTATTTACATCAATCCGATTAAAGAAGTAGAAAAATATTTTTAAGAGCTGCATTTTATTATTTTTCAGTCACTTTGTTTGCTACTCAGTAACTCAAAGATTAAATATGACAGTTAAATTATTACACTTATAGAGTGGCAACATGCTGGGGCTGAAATAACTGAATATGTGGATTAAAATTTAAAGATAAATATCTTACATTTTACCAAACGGCAATACTGGAGATAAAAATTGCACATTGAGTCTGAGGCAGTCTAAGTCTAGCACACCGGAGATAAAAATCTTTTATTTTGAACAGTGTTGCCTGTTCTTGCTTTTAAATTGCTGAGTTTGTTAAACAAAAATTCATTTAAATTGTGCAAAATATAAAATAAACCAAAAACAAATTTTGAAATTTAAAATTTGGGCTTCCAGGTGTCCATGTTCAGTTGGAGGACTATGTGTATTTAAATTTTAATTTTGACGGCTCTGAATGCTCTCTCTTTCCCATAATTTTAAAAACATACATAAAGACTCTTCCTTATTTATATTTTTTTAAGTGATACATCGTGATAACATTTGATGGCAACAATTTGAAAAGTAAATGGAACACAAAAATTATATGCACAATAAATTAATAAATATACTGCTCATTTAAGCAATAAATAGATTTTCCTTTACTGCAAAGATAGAAATATTTATAAAACAGAATGTCATGTAAAAGAAAATAAAAGCATGTGAACAAATAAAATGTCTTCACAAACTGTCAATAAATTCTCATATGTAACCATCAACTGCATACATATGACATACCAGTAATCGTAAAATACAAAATGAGTGAGTCCTGGAGGATCACTCTTATATCATGCTATCCTCTGAGTATCAATATTGGTATATCTTCATGACATTGTTGTTAAATTATTTATAAGCTCCTAAGAATTCTTTACTATTTCACTACAAAAATAAATGCCAGATATTCTGCATGGCATGGAATAAAATAATTAAGATGCAAGATGCTAAATTCGTCCCGGATACTCATTCAATACAAAGGAAAATTATACTAGTTTCTGTTGAACATTTAAAACGCTGTGGTTTGGAAAACAAACATTTATTACAGAGCAAAAAGAAGAAATACACAGACACACAGCGAAAAGCGAAAAGATTTGCAGAGGTTATATATATAACTTTACAGCAGATCATGGTTTAATGAATCACAAACAAGATGCAGAAAACAACCAATCAAAGATAACATAAAGAAAATATAAACAAATAAAATAGGATTAAGTTTTAGAATGCATCAGACGTGACAGAAAGCTATAATTCTTTTTAATCAATAAGAATGCGATTACAAATATCTCAACAGTTTCAAAGTTAATAGGAAGCTGAGTTTGATGAGGTGTCCGGTATCATTCATAAGACTGGCTGAATTTCCATAGCTATAAACTTAATGCATAATGCAGGTTTCAGGATTCTATTCCATTCTCAATAATTCTCTTAATTATGTATATCCATTTATGAAATTTCCCTCAAAACCATCCATCTAACTGTTCCACACTGATGATGATCTACAAGCACAAAAAAAGATAACCAATATATTATCTATATCCCCTGACAGCACAGTCCAAATGAATCATGAATACAGCAATTACCAAGTACAAGTCCAATTACCAAATACAAGTCCCAATACTTCAGCTTTTCAGTGAGCAGAATGATAATATCTTTTCAAAGGAATGGACATCACTTGTCAGTCATATCAGACATCAAAATAATGAATCTGACAGCAAGCAATTAGCCTTAAAATCCATTGTCGTATGGTGTTAAACAGATTATGCTGAAAAAGACTGTATTCAATCTTTTTCTTTCTCATCTCACATTATTGATCATAATCTCTTAAAACGGAAAACGGATTGCTTTTACCTTCCTGATAAAATATCTCTCATCCTCTAGGATTCTACTCATAGCCTAGAAATGACATTTTAGGAAACTAAAAGGAAGTATTTCTGACTGAAGCCTTCACTTACAAATGCTTAGATCAGTTCTTCTTACAATAAACAAACAGCTATTGCTTTAAATTGTGAAACTGGATAAAAAAAAGTGCCAAGATATCAATATTTAAAATTATACACTGGTGGAATATAAATGCTTAAACAGATAAAATCTGCTTTAAGTCACTTTCAATGACATGTCCACACTGATGTCACTTTCAATGTCCCAGACAGATAATTACTTATTTTTGCCACACATAAATCAAATTCTATAGGCTTTCTGTAAGTCATATGGTAATTTTTCAGTCTATTTCCTATTTATACTTCTTTGATCAGTATGTACAAAAATAGTACTTGAAAACTAAATTTTTGCAACAATGCAATTAACAGTAGATATTAAATATAACAATATGAATTTACACTATCACCATGAGTTCAAACTTCTTTTGAACCGACTTAAAATTTTCAAAGAAAGCATAATGAATTTCAGCTTTTCAATTTAAGAAATAGTTACGAAGTAACAAAACTGTCAAAGATGTTCAAGATACATAAGAACATATTGACAATAAGATACATATGAACAAGATACACATGAACAAAATGGTTTATGAAAAACTTTACATTTATGTCTCATACCTTCACAGCAAGTTCATTTTGCAGTTTCTTTTGTTTTAGTTCTTCCCACCATTTAGAATTAGTTGGAAATATCCAGTGTCTTTGACTTAATTCCTCTGATATCTAACAGACAAAAATAACTATCATAAAAATGTCTTCCAAATAAAAATCAGTAATTTCTCTAACTTCTAAATAAGAATAATAAAAATACGATTCATATTGTTTCAAGCATATTGTATTCCTACTTTTCGAAATTTTATATTCACAACTATATCTTAAAGATATATGATTTTACTTTATACTTTCTAATACCAATGAACAAAGAAAACTTTCTAAAATAGTCACTAATTATACTAAAATGTCCATACATAGGTAGGACAAACAATATACACTGCTAGCCACCCAAATTGCAACACCAAGAAAGACAAGAGATATCACAACAAAATTTATTTAGTAGGTAGCATATTGACCAAGTATCAAATGATTAAATTTATAGACTTCTGTGAAGTGTGGAATCAGTAGCCAGAGTAGCCGCCATTCTTCAAAGAGACTCTGCATTGATTCAAAGAGACTTTGGATATGTTTTTGGGGTACACAGGCTTCATAGCCACATTTTAGTTATAAAAAAAAGCACCTATAAGCACTTTTCAAGCACATTTTAAAGAAAAAATAAGCACCTGTCTAATTACATTATACACAACTGCATAACCTTAAAAGAAAAATTAGACTTGTAATTTAAAATATGAGCAATGCAATATTTATTAAGAGAATGAGCATTACCTCAACAATGGAAAACAATTAACTCATTTTTTTTTTTTTTTATTTTTTAAATGACAGTTCAATTTACAGAATTAGTTTACAATGAGAGGAAAAAAAAAACTATGCAGAACTAAACTATATTACAAAATTTAATGATGATATTTCAGTTGAAAATATAGAAAATAAATAATAATAAGCCATATTAATTATATTCATTTGGCACCTAATAATAAATACAATTTATTTTTCCACTCATATTAATATTTAAATAATTTAACTTAAATCAAAATTCTGAACATTTTCTAAATTTTCATAATAGTTTTCCCTTAACATATATCCCAAGCAAAGTAATTTAAGTAATAAAGAGGCACATTTCGGAAATCAGAAGACGGGAAATTGCTTCATTCAGTCATCCTTTAACAGTAAAAGCTTAACTAACCCACATACTCGGAAATTCCCGAATATTCCGGATAGTAACTGGAAAAGAGGAGTGGGGGAGATTGTAGCTGTTCTTTAGATTTAAATTTAGGCTAAATAAATGATTTTGACATTTCGATATGTGCATCATATAAAAACCAACGGAGCTGAGAAATATTCTGCTTAGAAAGCACAGTAAAACTCTTTTAAGTGTGCATAAACAAATCTCAGACTGAACATCAAAATTAATTATCAATGCAAAATACCGCAAACGTTATTGCGCAATACGTGCGGCGTAATTCTTCCATATGTGATATTAGTGATATTATGCAATTGGAATCAACACCTGCCGGTATTCGGAGAAAAAAAAGAACTAAATAAAGGAAAAGAAAGACTTACTAATCTGGGGTGTTTCTGATTCTAATTTTCAACAGACTGTATTAAATTTCCGGAATAAAATCAATAAAATCAATCGTCGCTTGGGTTGGGTAGACCGCAAAAATTTTAGTCCTATTCAATCCAGATTGGACAGTGAAAAAAAAAAAAAAAAAAAAGGTCCGCTGCTTCAATATTAGAGATTTTGCAGAGGAACTCACCTCTGTACTGTATAATGTATTGGCAAAGAAAATGAAATTATTTTGACTATTCGATTACTTTCCTTTTATTTAAGCCATTCCGAATATTATTCCTTACAAAGCTAATCTGTGTAAAAACACACCCATTTTTGGAAGTTTATCTATACTTCAGCAGTTCCTGCAACTATACTATTATAAATATCATACATTGCTCATAATATAAGCATAACGATCATACAGGGTTTGTACACATTTCCTTACATGAAAATTAAGGACTTTTAAGAACCATCAAAGAAAAAATTAAGGACCTATCAGCAAACAAAAAAATGAATAGAATAAAGCAAATTATCCATACAACCCGACTTCATGCTTGTAATTTGACTTTAAAAAAATAACAGAAGTGTGTATTATGCACTATTATTAAATTCAATTTAATACTTATCAAAAACATAAAACAATTTTGAAAATTAAACTAACTCCCTACAAGTTATGAGGCAGATAACATTAAATTAGGAACATAATTTCTTGAAAAACATGTATAAGTGTATTTTACACTAATAACAGTCACTACGTATTTTAGAGATTTACATGATTATTATTTAACTTATTTTGATATTTATTTAAACACAGTCAACTACTATTATAAATCACAATGTAAGAATATTTTGCAGATTAAAATAACTGATTTGTAAAACATACAATTTATTTCCTTTGGTTTTTGAAAGATACTAGAATAATAAACTATACAATAAAAGATACAAAACAATTTATGCTTTTTTTAAAATCTGAAATCTTCCCTTTTCTTTAACTATTCTTCTAAGTTCATTTGCTTTGATAAACAAATCAATGTTCCTGTTGGTCTCAGCTTCATCTGCTAAAGCATCTACTTTTCATTAATATCTTTAATGTCCCTTTGAAAAAATTTTTTCTTCTGCTTCATATAATCAATTTCTTCCTCAATAATATTTCTTTTCCTCTTTGAATTTTCAGATTTAGTTAAAGATTTTTGTTCTTCTAAATACTGAACGTTCTTCTAAATACTGAACTTCTAAATAACGAACTCCACTTCTTGCAGAAGTTGCTGCTGATCTCATTTCTTTATTAATTTCGATATTAAGAACACCTCCAGAAAATATTATGTAATCAAATGCTGTGCATTGAAAAATGTATGATGAGTCACTTAAATTTTCAATTTCAATTGCTTTATTTACAGAGAAGCCCCTTTCCACAGAGGCCTGTTCATGTGACAAGATAAGAATACCTGTCACAGTGAATACTTGAATAGTGAAAATATCATTTCTTAATATATATAATCTATATAATTTATTTATTTCCTAAAACAATATTGATTAATTGATTATATTATCTCCTAAGTTTAATTAAAGTAGAATTATTTTAAAAGAGTGAATCCATACTGGTAAGTTATATTTTGAAAGATGTATGTATATATATATACAGTACAAAGTCCGAGATCCGGACATCTAATATCTGGAATGATCTAAAATCCGGACCTTAAAGCCACCACCAACCAATTGCGCATTAGATTTTTTTCCCTCATCATAAAAAAAACATGCCAGAAATCCTGATTCTTAATCTCAGTTTGGCCCTAAATAAAATATCTCATTATTGAAGAAATAATTACTTTAGCATATATTTGTGTGATTAGTAACTTGACTCCATAGCTGCGTATCTGCTTGGCATAATCTCAAACCAAAACATTTGTTAATTTTACACCAACTAATATTTTATATCCTTGATGCCGAAATAGCGAATCATTATTTATCGTATTTTGCTTTCATCACCGCATGTTTATCAACGGATGACAACTTGAGTGATGAATCATGCAGCGACGCCAAATAACAGAGTATTATCCGATTACAGATTTAAGTTTAATGCGCTAAAATGTTGACAAGGGGAGATTTAGCAGAAATTTCTTTCCTTATGCTAAAAATAGATTTTGTTAATGATACTCATAGGACAAACGATTATATTTAGTGCTATTTGAATTAAGAATAACTGATTTGTTATTCACATAAAGCCAGAACCAGCGCCAGATCTGGCATGGCCGCACCAGGCGGCAGAATTTAGCGAAGTTAAAACAGAAGTTTTTCATTGCGATGACCATGCCCAATCATCAATCAATTAACGGAGGGCGAATCTGTAGTATGGTTCTAAATCCAGAAAATACAGCTACCGATAGTGAAGAAAGTAACAGAGGTTACTGAATGAGAAAAAATTTTGATTGACAAGTTATTCGGAATTCTCGACACAGCAATTACAGGACTTGAACAATGGAACTTAATAACTGAACAAGAAATTATATGTCTATAGTATTAGTCTAAAGTATTAGCAGAGAAAACAACTCACATTGAAAGAAATGTTTAATAATGTAAACATATAAATATAAGCTCGTTTCTTTAGTAAATTTGGTACCTTTAAATCATAAATGCTCATTATTTCATAAATCACGATTTCATATTTTCAATTTATAATTTCTACGTGCCATCTTAGTAGATTTAAAATGATCTAATATCCGGAAAAATCTCAAATCTGGGATCGTCGAAGTCCCGACGAGTCCAGGCCTCGGACTTTGTACTGTAGAAATATATATATATATATAATACGGAATGTATATTTTCAGTTAAACTTCTACCCAATAACTTTAGTAATTCATGAAAGTTAATTTTGCATCTAGTTAATTCAGGAAAATTAGTTTCAATTCGTTGTTTTTCAGCTTTAAAAATATTAAAAAATTTTTAATTAGTTATTTTCAACTAATAATTGTATCGCGATTAGCAAAAATTATGCATTACTATCAACAACATAGGTTTAAACCAAATACTTAATTGTATATTGAAGCTTCAAACGTATTTCCGAACTTCACTTTTTTCTCGGCTAGCGTTACCGAATTTGCCCTTGGCGACTCTAAAATCGAAATGGAGCCAACAGATTTCCCGCGAAAATTGATAACAGACCCTCTGCAGAAATAAACTCATAATCCTGATATCCCATACATATAGTATGTGCAAAAGAGAATAAACTCCGTAGAAGGTGAATCAAAAATTAATTTATGGCTTAAATTGAAACAAACACAGAAATTAAGCTAAGCAAAACTGTGTAAAACAAAATTGAAATGATAAAACGAAACTTAATTTTCATGTGAATTTTCAGCACTGACTCTCCCATTCTAGAAATTTCAATTTGTTTCAGACAAAGACCACATTTAGCTTTTATAAAGGATTTGTCATCCATCAATATCCAGTCTTTGTAGTCAGCTTGATGAAGGCCACAGTTTATTGAAAATGCAACTTTCCAGGCATCTCGTTCCTATTGGCGTCGGAAGGGTTGTGGCCTTCCAGGTTGGAATTGCTTCTAATTTTGGCAAATATTTTCAGAATCCCCCCCCACTCTTTTTTTTTCGAGCACCTTCATCATCACTTTCGCCTCTTAAAGAACTTCTGGCTTCACGCTTTCGTCACAATCTGCCTAAATTTATGGATAACACCTGTTTCAAAAGATTGCGTGAATAGCCAATCAGACACCCGATACTTTCATTCTACGGCTAGGTAATTGTTTTTTTTTAATCGTTTGCAACGCAAATCCGCCAACAGATTGGTTAAGAGCCGTGTAATTTTAATTCCATATTCATGAGAAATTGTAATTCACACTTAGAATGGCAATCATTAGAAATGATAAGAAATGTCAAATGAGCAAAATTAAGGACCGTTTATTCATTTTGGCCAAAATTAAGGACTTTTAAGGACCAAAAATCATTTTTGAAAAAATTAAGGACTTTTAAGAACCGTATGAACCCTGTCATAATAAACACGAATATGAACTGACCACGCGGAATGAGAATGCAAATTATTAAAATCTTGATAGAAATTCAAACGTGTGTAGTATTTGGGTGGAAGGAAAAGAATACCGAATGTACTGGAATTTTCTACGTTTTCGCAATTCTTTGGCCAACAGAACGACGTGCAACAGAACGACGTGTACTCTCGCGCGCACCATAGGTTACGTTAATGCAGAGGAAGGGGGGAAGCAATTTTCGGGAGTATGATTCACCATCTGACGTTGCATATAAGAAAGTAAAGTTGTTTATTTAGTTTCGGCTTTGCTACGGGGATAAAATGCGCATTCATTGAAAAACAAAGGATTTTAAAAAAAGCACTAAAAGCAAAAAATAAGCACTAAAAACAAAAAAATAAGGGCTTTAAAGAAAAAGTAAGCACCTATAAGGGCTTTTATATTTTATTTTCAAATATAAGGACTTATAAGCACTTGTAAGGACCGCTACGAACCCTGGGTACAGCAGAGCAAGCAGCTTCCACATGTTGCCAAAGTTGATCTGGTGTGGTAGCTTGGGATGTAATCTGGGTCAATCCTTCAGCAAACATGGACCACATGTTTTCTATCGGCGAAAGATCCGGAGAGCGAGCCGGCCAGGGAAGCAATTCAATCTGGCGATTGATGAAGAACCCTTGGACAATGCGTGTAATGTATGGTCGCGCATTATCCTGTTGAAATATGGCTGTGGGCAAGCCCTGAAGGTAAGGAAGGACAACTGGCTCCAACACCTCGGAGATGTAGCACTGGCTGTTTAAAATACTGGCAATGCGTATTGGAGGAGTGCGAGAGTGATATCCAATACCTCCCCATAACTATAATACCCGGTGTAGGACCAGTGCGGCAGTGCATAATGCAGCTGTTCAGCATCCTCTCTCCACGGAGTCTCCAGACTCGAATCCGACTTACGTGGTGTTGCAGACAGAAGCGTGACTCGTCAGTAAAGACAATTTCATTTCATTCTGCCATCCAGATCCTTCTTTCATCTCACACATTGATGCAGCGGAAGATGTCTGTGGTTCTGCATCAAAGGGTAGACGAAAGCAATGGACATCTTGCAGACAGACCACTCTGCTGTAAACAGGCGTTGAATGGTACCATGCAGACACTGGATGATGCATTACAGACTGAATGTGCTGTGCTAGTTCGTGATGTGACTGAGCAATCCATCACTGCCATGCGCACAACGTTCCTGTCATCATGTGAAGTGTGCACACTGGAAGTGGATGCGATCGAACACGTTGGTCCGTCGTAACCTCCTGCATCCAACGCTCACATATCCACATTACAGTTATTTGATTTGGTCCAACACAACTACCGATTTCCCTGAAAGATAATCCACACTCTCGGTAAGCCACCATCTTTCTTCTGTCGAACTCGGATACTTGATCAAACGATGATCGCTGTTTACTACGAGGCATAATTGATCATTTACTTGAAAAAAAACCACAAGAAAAACACAATTGCCGAACTTGAAATTGTTGAAAATTCTAAGCCTTAAATAGCACTTTGAAGTGGTGCCACAGGGCATGTGTGATGTGAGTCTGAAATTCTAATCATTTGCATATCTCACCTCCGCTCATGCATGTTGTAAATTTCATGTTATTTCAGGGTGCTGCATTTACGGTGGCCAGCAGTGTACATAAAAAAAAATCTTTGTTAGATCTGCAAATCTGAACTCTTTGATATCTGAAAATGATAATTTATTGCAACTGTTACAAGAACAAATTTCGAAAGAAAGGAAAAGGGAGCTGATATGACAGCATTCTTATACTATGGTTGTCTATAAAAGAGGGACTAAATCAAGAATGCCCTTGATATCTACAATTAGCACATGGAAATGAAGCTCCATCTTGTGCTACTGCATTCAGTGATTTGTAGAATTCCTTAGAGTTCCAAGATGAACAACAAATATGAAGACCTTTATGACATATTGTGCCAAAAATTATCACTGTACCTTTAAAATAATACAAAAGAAATTTAACATTAGATCTGAAGCTATATATAAAACTATTCATGAAGAGCTGCAAATGAAAAATTTAGTTTGTGGTTGGGTTCCCATAAAATTAACAGAATACCAATACACAGAGCATGTCAGAATCAGTAAAGAAACTGTAAAACCGCTTTGATGGTGGAACACTACATTACTTTCAAAATCATAAGTGGTGATGAAACATATATAATGTTTTTGATGTTCTAACATAATATCAAGGAAGTAAAATATTTGTGTTTGAAGATACCTCACCCAAATCAACAATAATGAAAAGAAAAAAGGGAATGAAAAAAGTAATGCATGTCATAGTCTTCACAAACACAGGTCTGGTCATAGCCATGAAATTAGAGGAACAGAAGGCAGTTAAAACTAACTGTAGTTACAGCTAACCACCATTTATTCCCGAAATTTTTGTATCAAATTTTGCATCAAGTGAAAATTAAGAGAATTGTGCTATACTATGATAATACATTTTTTTTATTCAGTAAGATTGGAAGTTGAATTTCTTGAACAAAAACACATTAAAGAAATAGAATTTAACAAACATTCTCTCTTTATATTAGCCATAGAAGATATGTAACTTCATATTCTTCAAACTCATCATGACTCAAAATTTGATTTCTGTGAAAAGGACATTATTATTTTGAAAGATTCAGTAATACATAAGAAAAGGTGTCCATACCATGGAAAGAACATGGTTACCTATCATCCCGATTTATTCTTTTTTTTTTTTTTTTTTTTTTTTTTTTGATCTGCTGCAAACCAAAATATAAATGCCCAAAGCATAACTCAACCATCAGCATGTTTTACTGTAGGAAACAGTCAGTCTACATTGTAAGCTTTTGCTGCTGTTCTTCACCCATATAAATCCATCCTGAAGTACAGAATACTGTAAAGACTGTGATGTCCAAAAATAGCAGTTGTTTTCACTGATCAGCATTCTACATTTTTAAATTCTAGGCACCCCTTTAATTTTTACTTTGTATTTATTTGTGACATAAGAGGTTAGAGGATAACAGCTCTGCCATAAATATTTTACTTATACCATTTCTTTTATGCTGTATCTGAGGAAATAGGGTTCTGTAGCTACACTACACTTAGCAGTCACCTTTGCTACAGTAGACTTTCTTTCTTTTTTTTTTTTTTTTTTTTAAATGTAACAATTTCCTTTAATATCCTCCTAGTTCAGTATTAAGTTTTATCTTTCTCCCACAGCTATGTTTTGTAGACAATGTTTTATTATCAACATTGAATACTATCATGATTTTAGATACAATACCTTTTAATATCCCCATTAATTTTGCAATTGAGGGTATAAAATACAGCAACCAGGTGGGCAGCAAGAGTTTGAATTTTTATTAAATCATTGATTTATTGCTTCCTTCACTATCAACAAAGTTTTACACACCACTACAGAAATTTTCTATTTTACATAGCCTTTAGAACATATGCAAAATGATATTTATTTTAAAGTATTTTTATTACTTTGGATAACTCCAATTTACATAACTGCAAATAAATAAAAAAAAAACACTTGAAAGATGTCAGTAATGATTATAAAAAATTTGAATATATAAATAAGATGAAAATTATGTACCTGATTAACAACAGCTCCTATATCACCAACAATTCCTACAGTAGCTTGAACACTATTGTGTAGTTCTTCCATTTTTATATCAACCTAAAAAACAAAGTACAAGATTTTTTTTAAGATAGCATAAAAAATTATCATTTTTTATTTTTATTTATCAGTCTTCTTATCAAGAGATAACAATGCATACAGATATTGTATTAATTTTTTTTAAATGGTAATCAAGAATGTAGCCTTATGTTTTTTAACTAATAGAATATAAATTGAAGTTGAATACAATTGAATGACAATGAAATACAACTGAACAGTAATTTGCAAGAAAATAAGATTTTGCACACAAGATGGAAACATTTAAATTCTGTTCATGCTTAAATGCATATGACATATATAACTTAACAGAAAGTTAATTAAAAATTATTCATATAGGATATTAAAAAATAAATAAATTTTGCATTATATACCTGCAAAAATTTTACATCACCACTGAACCGAGGTTGCCTTCCAAAATGGAGAATCCAATTAAGCCTTGCACCTAACATCAATACGACATCAGCCCCAGCAAGAGCTCTAAAAGAATCAAAATGTATTTGATATTTTAAAAGTAACCATATTTTCAAAAATAAAATTTAATATGAATGATAAATCAAATATGAAATATTATTAATGCCACTTCACGTTACATTTTTAATTGTCTTATAACAATGTCGTCATGCGATGATTTGTAGATACTTATTTTTCACCACGATATTTTCGACGACGATGTTTTTAATCTGCGAAGTTTTTGAACCGCTTTATTTTCGACGACGATGTTTTGTACCACGATGTTTTAGGACTGCGATGTTTTCTCTTTGCGATGATTTCTCCCACGATGTTTTGTAGCACGTTTTCGCCTTGCGTTGTTTTCTCCGCGACGTTTTCGTCCGCGATGTTATCGGCGGACACCGATTTTAAGTGCGTTCATACTGCACGTACATTATATCGTAGAAACATCCTGGCCTGCCTCGACATTCAAATCTGCATCCAATGAGACATTGGCCAGCCTCGTTAACTACTACCCCGATCAGAGCTGCTCAATTTTAGATGTAAGAAAGGACAAATATGATCATCAGCCTATCTATACATGCGTGAAGCAACCACTAAAACTCTGAGATTTACCAGTTTAGGAAAAAATAAAATTTATCGATAACCAATTTTCGACAACATTCACTCTGAAAAATATCGATATTTTATCGATTTTAGCTTGATTTGGCTTAAGCATTAAAATAATTAATTTATTTCGTGTATCGTTTTCATCATCGCTTCTAAATCGAGACTTGAATATATTAAATTTGAAGAAGTGTACATATAGGTAACATAAGACATATTTTTAAAACGTTCATATCTTTCAGGAAGGTGAAAACAGTCAAAAAATGGCTGAAAAAAAAAACAGTAGATTTTGAGGAGGCAATATATTC